AAAATATGACCGCGAAGCGGCGAGGTTGGCCTACTAAAAGGAGGTAGAGTGATTTTAGTGTCATTGCAGGAATTGACAAAGTCGATGAAGCTTACAAAGACTTCAAAGAAACCGTTCCTGGGAAAAACAAAACGGACTAGAAAGAGAACGGCTAAACGGTCCTGGGTTTCTGAAAAGACCCTAGCCCGTAGAGTGAGAAGGAATCAGTCATCGCCATGTTGTTCTTACAGTCAATCATAGCTGCAGGCAGGGCGTGGAACTTTGGCTAGAGGGGTAAATGAGAAAGTTCGATAAGGCTGCTAAATTTGTTTAAGTTCGAACAGTGTTCAAAGGGGTGCGGCAGTATCCGGGAAGCAGGGCATGTTCTCTGTCCTTATACATGATCCTAAGCATGTTACGCTGGCAGATGAGAAGGAGCGCGTCAAAAACAATGAGTTGAGCAATTCATGCAGCTTCTCAACAGCTACGTTCCGGATTTGTCATTTCCAGTCATTCATTCTTTACCAGTGCTAAAGGATAGTAGAGAGCCAAAATTGAAAGTAGAACTTAAGAGCCTTGCTGCACTTAAAAGCTAAGAAGGTTTGTGGGATGGGTCGAATTCTTCCGCATCGAATTAAGAATGGAGAAACGGAAATGGTAGAAACATTTCAACTGTTTCACGAAATGTGCATTTCATTATCATCATCTTCTTCCTTAACCGCTTCTCCTTTCCAGTCACGAAATGTGTATTTTACAGTCGTATCCCTGAGGAATGAAAATGTGGAGTAATTGTCCCTGTTATCATGGGGTCATGCTACCCGTCAACTTCCAATAAACTTCTCTTCGTGATTATCGTAGAAAAACTGAGACAGGAAATACTGTCAACTTCCAGACGGATTAGTCATGCCTGTCCAATTATTCACTCTGCGTAGGATCACTGATGACTCCTAACGATTCCAGTTGCTTTGCGTTGTTGGTTTCCTCGACTTTGAGCTTACACTTTATTAACTAAATCGTCCGATGATTTGGAAAATCTTGAAACGCTGTGGGATGTCGGAGCCAACAGTCGGTTCCCTTCTGGAAGGGATTCCTAGCAAACCGATGAATGACTCATTCTCTGGGGGAAAGAGAGGTTTAAGATATCTGGCTATATGTTTTGCTGACCTGTACTACGCAGATAATATTGTCCTGATTTATAGTACGGGAAGAAGACTTTGTCACCTTACGACCTCCGTACAACTTGCCTATTGTTTAAAGTCCTGAAATCAAAACTTCCATGACAGAGCCAATTTGAGACAAGTTTATCGGTGAATTGAAGCGCTTGCAGAGGTTGAGCAGTTAACATATTTTGACTCTATTGTCTCCAGCAGTGGCACTAAACAGCCAAAATTAAATAAATAAGAGGATTGCCTTAACCTCGATTATTTTTGGAGATCTGTTGAATATTTTGGACTGAGAAACGAGTAGGCGTTTCCACAAAAATCGCCCTTTTGTTGCCTCAGTCAGGCCAGTGTTGTTATACGCTATGGATAAAGTTGTTGTAGCGAATGAGCAAGAACTATGATTGAACTGCGTACAACAGCGTTGACTTCGACGCATAATCATGATTATGGTTAAATAGAAACATCACATGGGGAACGAGTTTTTTCTCTTAAGAAAATGAGGTTGGCGTAATCATTTACTTTATTCCGCTAATTTCTCGTACACGAGTCGAAATACGGCAGTCCTGTACCCAAACGCTTATAGAGCAATATAACATAAACAAATGATGTAGAGGTTGATCTGCTTTTGGAGAGGAATATTTCCGTCGATGCTTTGCGGTGAAAAGCTGCTAGCACAACCGAGTCATAAACCAGACACGTTGTGCGCATGTCGACGGATCAACGTGACGATCTCAACGGACGTATAACATGATTCATTGTTACTTCTTCAACTTTCAGTAATCTGATTTTTGCGCACGTTATGTAAATGGTGCATCTTTCATATTATTATATGTTTTTGTTTTGTTTATAACATTTTCTGCTATTTTTGATGTATGTTGTATTCCGAGAGCCACTGTTTGTTCACTTTTTAAAGCGATTACATAACAGCTGTCTTAAACAGTTTAGTATTAACAGACGGACAACAGATTTGTGACGATTAATGCGCATGATGATGGTTGATTTTAACCAGTTCCTCCCTTGCGAAGCCACTGAAAGATGAAAGTGCTACCATCGTACAGTACAGCATCGGATGCGGTTTAATATCTTATGAACGTCATAGTAATTTTTACGCCGATGTATATTTGATAAAGTATACCTCCTCCAAAACCGGTATTTCAGGACGCATTATACCTCTCTTTTGCTCCAAGTAGACCCGGGCGAGGGGACGGCATTTAAGCCTCGATTGTACGTGAGCTCCTGCAATGAGAGATGCATCTGGCGTATCTTCGAACGTCGAAATATGTCTGACTCACATAGCGCATAACGCCTCCAAGACCGGATTTAACGGTGTATTGAACCGCTTCTTTGCTCATTGTTGAAAACGATGATGAGGTGTCTCAACGGACAAGATAAAGCGAGATGCATGCCGCATTGCAGATGCCCAAATCCTGTGAAATCGTCGCCTGCTTTAGTACTCTTACCCCCGTTCTAGGCAGCCAGAATTAAGGAGACCGTCTGGTATTAAATGAATTACTCGTTTCGTGATATGATTTAATGTGAAGTTTTCCTACGTCTGACCGAAATGTCACTTGTAAACGATTCGCCAACTTCTTTATTGTCATTGTCGCTCCCATAAAACCGAGCACAATCACATGCGTTGTTATTTACTGTGTCAGTATAAGTGTAAACCAAAATTTGAAAATTCAAGATCAATCAGTTTCGATGACCGTTTATCCTTTCGCATCTTTGAGGCAAACACGTCAGACGGTGTCTCCAATATTCCGGTGCTCTACCGGGGCTGAAGCTTCGACAGAGGATAACGTTGGTCTGAAGCAGAGTCCTTCGTGACACATGTCCCCGCGGTCTTCGGTCAGTCGGTTGGCGAAGTAACAGCTGCTTCGCCTTCATCTCTGTGAACATTCGCAGTGCATGCCCAGACGATTGCAGCTGTCTTCTCACTCCACCA